GTAACGAGGGGAACACTACTAATATGAGACACATGAATAACATTTTTGATGCAAATTCTTGATGAGAGAGAAGTATTGGGGTTTCACGTGTACGCTTTCACTCCACTATGCACAAAAGGGCGGCTTTGGCATGAAGTACTCTCATTTAAATGAGCAGTGAATGCAGTCGGTGTCCTCAAAAAGCGGTCATTCAACACAGCCGCATACTAATAAAATGTGGCAGTATTGGTGGCAGACAAAGGGACACTTACACCTGTAGGTCCACATGTGATAGTGGAGGATCCACGTGCCTCAAAAGGCCTAGTTACACAGGGCGAAATGCCACTCGCAGGCAAAAATGCGCTGATCGGCACTGAACACCTCTTCCAACTCCTCTGTCTCATTTTACCTCGCTCTTCGTCTCTCCATCCACGCCTACATTCATCATCCACCGTCCACTTCGTCGTTGATGCTGCTGCTGCCGTAGGTGCAGCTCTCACCTCTCCACATGCAACAGTCATTACAGCAGAATGATTAATCCACAGGATGGAGCGTAAGCGAAGACAATAAAAAATGGGTGCATGTAATCGGACTTTGCAGTCCTAACTACTGTATGAAGGGCATTATTTGCATTAACTGCCTCTCTATTCTCCTCCGTGCCTCACCAACCAATGCAATAATAGGAGGCCGATCAATTTCTGTCATCTTATGCTCGTGCTCTAATTTCATTGCTGCGGATGGCTTTCTCTGCTAGGCGAATAATTGCAAAAGCAAAACTACATGTGAGGTGATACTACACATATTTGGAATGTCCTTTACAATATGATGCTACGTGTAACGCTTCAGTCTTCTTTAGAACAAATGCACGGATCAAGGGTAGACGAAGGCGGCTCTTTACACGAGCTTGAATGCGCATCAACCATTCTCGCCTTCTTCTTCTCTCCACCTTCATCTTTCCTTCCTCCGCTTCCACCTCCACCTCTACCTCCTTCTCCACATCCACATCTACCAAATTCTCTTCATTCTTCTTCTCGTTCTCACCTCTATTCTTCCTTGCCTCAAGCTCAACCACCTTCGTCTTCAACTGCCCCTTCTCCTTCTCATTTTTTCTTCTCCTCCCGCTTCATATGTCTACCCCGGTTCTTGTTTGTTTTCACCTACACGGCCTCACTCTTACTCCCACTCACATTCACCCTCGTCTCCGTTCCTTCCTCCACCACCTTCCCATCCCGCACACCTAGTCTCCCATCACCTACAAACACGCACACGCCAATTGAAAGTGTAGCATTAAAGGTTGACAAATTATGTGTCATAATGTACAGGGTGGGCAGGAGAGAGAGTTTATGTAACTGCTGTCACAAGGCCACGAGACGTCGATCGATTTGTTTACGTGACAGGTTGGAATTCGCGGACCGCACAGGCATTCACAATCTGTTGAACTTGACCATCCTGATGAGCGTTATCTTCGAGTTGACCGAGTCTACCTCAGTCTCCCCTCCCCGCTTCATTTCAAACCCCGAACTACCTTTCTTTTTTGTTTGGATCACCCTTATTATGATCTACGTTGTTTCCTGCATATACCTAAGAGATCGCGCACCATGTCCGCCTACTCTTCATCCTTCTCGACAGAGGGAGCCATTGCCAGACCCAGGAGAGCCTAAACCTTGGAGGGGTGAGTTG